GTCCAATTTAGTTGACTAAAGTTAAAGTCGCTTACTATACAAACTTCGCTATGTCTGGAAGCCCTACAGAATTCATCCCATCTACCCTATCAAGGTTAGGTCTATATACTACCGTTATGATTAATTTGTTCCTACCATCGCTTAATTATATCCAAATTGTTTCCGTATTCAATTGTTTTTTTTTCTCTATTGATTCCACACTTCAAATTATCCCTGACATAGATTGCTAATCTGCCGATCAGTATGAAATAATTTATAACCTTTAATTTGGTATTCGACAGATAACTCACGTGAGTCAAGTTTATCCATGTTTCGGTGAATGTTATCATATCGATTTTTTGTGTACAGTACATATTAAGGTTCTTGTTTCAACCATTTTATTTCTCACACTTCTACTGTTTGCGAAGTAGACATTTAAGTTAGTCGTTAACTAAATCCTCTGTCTGTTGCATTTTGGTTTTAACTCTGTCTAATTTAGCTTTATTATCATGCCTAGCACGATTACCCTGTATAACCTTTCGTTTAGTTTACCCGTGCCCACTGCAGTCTCATCGACCCCCGTTCTCTGAACAGTTTAAAGACTTCGACAACTTTTGAACTGCCCTCTCGAGTGAGCCAGCCGCCCCTTTCCTAGATAAATGTACCCCATCCCGAGCAGAGAGAGAGAGAGAGAGAGAGAGAGAGAGAGAGAGAGAGAGAGAGAGAGAGAGAGAGCTACCAGTGGGAGGACTCTTGTGAAAATCGTCACAAGTCTTCCTGGAGGAGCAAGTCGCCGGACAGCAGATCTAACACAGTTCAATTGACGCTTGACCGATCTTAGGTACAATAACAGCAGTACACGGGCTTCTAGGGATGATCCTGGCGTTGAAGGTGATACCCCAGAGCATGTGGCAGCCATCAACAACAATGTATTCATACCTTTAGCAGGGTACACCTTACTGGGTAAACATTTGTGTTATTTAAATACAAAACATAAAGTTGATTAACATAAAAGCGAGAACAGGCAGAGCGAACGTCACCAGGCAAGCAACAATGACATACCTAACATAAAAAGGACCGAGTGTACATAATGCACTTCAAAAGCTCTCGATATTGACACATTAAATGAAAAGATATCAATCTATAGAGAGAAAAGTTTCTTTGGTACTCTTTGAAAAACCATTTCTTCTTGTAACAAAACCTGTTTGATAGTGTGTGTGTGTGTGTGTGTGTGTGTGTGTGTGTGTGTGTGTGTGTGTGTGTGTGTGTGTGTGTGTGTGTGTGTGTGTGTGTGTGTGTGTGTGTGTGTGTGTGTCTGTCTGTGCTACCGGAGTTGAACACAAAGGTATCTAGGTGTTTACAGATACACTGTCTAGATATACTCAAAACGTAATTTCTCCATAAGTCACACCAAAGTTTTTCACAGATATTAAAAAATTTCACAATAAACATGTCCATGTTTTCTAACGAATATTATAATACAACATTCAATGACTGGAGGGCTGTGGTCGCCTGCCTTGAGACATGGGATGGCAGCTTGATTGACTGACACATGTAATTACAGAACCATCCTTTATATCAATTATATACCCCAGATACCAGTTGAGATAATGCACTAAAGACATTGGTGACGTTTGTGTTCACTACATTACGGTATACAATATGTGTAATGGTAGTCGGTGTGTTCTGTGTGATGAATACGTCCAAGACCGAGTCATTTAGGAGCTCTGTGTCACGAAGGAATCCCGCCAAGAAGTGTACTTACTGTCAGTAGTTCCAAGAGAGCTGCACTATCTGGACGAGACCCTCACAACTATGCAGCTCACAATACAAGGTGAGTTGAGAAGAGGGAGCTCGATTGTGTCAAGGATCACCGCGCCAGTTTTCAACACTTTACTCCTCAGAGTCGCCACACTTACACGCCGCAACGTATCAACACCCGGACGTATATTATATGATTCACGCTGACAAAGGACCTGGCGACTCCGACCTAATTGGATAATGGTAGCGTGGCGGCGTCTCCGAGACTGTTTCTCCAGGGCTAACATGATCCCGACTGCCTACTACAGCGCCACAACCAACACAGTAGTTAACTTCTGATTCTACCACGGTAATCTAGCTAGAGTTATTCGGTTAATTTATTTTTTATCTAGAATATCAGTGGTACAATGTTTAAGTCTTTGTTTATCATAGGACAAACACTTATTATACAGGTAAAAACCTTAAAAGGCCTCCGAGAAATAACGGAGCGGATAACAGGTACAATCCAAGCAAATGATCATACAAGCGTAAAATTTGATATGAACATTCAATATGGGTTACTTATCAAATCTCTTCAATTAGTCATTCAAAATTCCAAGATGGTTGCCAAATTTGCCTCACCGATTTTTTTTTTCATATATTATTGGTAAATCTATGCACATAAGGTGTCTTTTCCTATGTTTTTAAGCATGCTGGAACAGATTATGATTGTTTTGGGACCTTAGTTGTGTCGTTTATGTATAAAGTAACGGTCCTGCACCTACAGTACGTTTACCTCTTTCCATACAAGTAAGTGTAAGTGATTCTCAGTTCAACAATGAGAAACATGTTTATATTTTACTCATATCCTTGGGAGATATTGTTTGTGTGGTGGTGAATGTGTAGTGTTTGTGTGGTGGTGGTGTATGTATAGTGTTTGTGTGGTGGTGGTGTATGTATAGTGTTTGTGTGGTGGTGGTGTATGTATAGTGTTTGTGTGGTGGTGGTGTACTGTATGTATAGTGTTTGTGTGGTGGTGGTGTACTGTATGTATAGTGTTTGTGTGGTGGTGGTGTATGTATAGTGTTTGTGTAGTGGTGGTGTATGTATAGTGTTTGTATGGTGGTAGATGACTTGCTCTTGCCTTAGTGTGTGGTACAGACAACGGGCGGCTGTACCCAAGGTAATACGCGTGTAGAGTGATGCCCTTAGATTCGTCACCATACTACATCATTCCATACCATAATACACCATATCATACCATAATACACCATACTAGAAGACACCATACTATACAACACACCATTATCATACTACAACAAGCCATATCAGAGAGTGGGGGTGCAGGAGAGGGAAGAGTGGGAGTGTTGGAAAGTATGGGGTAAGAGGCGGCTGGGGATCATATTCCGTCAGTTCAACCATTGCTGGCTCTCTCTCTCTCTCTCCAGGTCATTCCGTCACTCTTTAATTCCCAGGATAAAGATGCCACCTATATTATGTCCACATTAAGCACCTGTTGTTATGTTTCTTCAGCTTTCTGGGTTACAAATACCTTTTACGAAACACGTATTCATTTAAATTATTGTGGGAATAAGAAACAAGCCGACAAAAAAAAATTATTAGTAGGAGTTTTTCCCAGTTCGTAAAAAAATCCACAAACAATGTAGGTTTTTCCTTATGATGAGAGTAACGAGGGTAATTTTACGCGGGTGTGAGAGAAAGAGGAACGCGATGGGGGAGACGATAGTAAGCCTCTGGGTACATCCTGTGGGTTGGTGGGTGTAGGGTATCAGCAGTAACCTTGACTGAAGTGGCGGGTGTGAACCTTTGGGAAGTGACAAGAGGCTGGTGGCTTGTCTGTTATTGTTGAGGTTGTAAGATTCTATGGTTTATTAGGTGAGGGTGGCAACCGTGGACCGGGAGGAGCTGCTAAAGTTATCCTGCTAAGTGGTCAATTGATGGTCGGGTTTGATGTTGGCAAATCTCCGTGTTGCATCCTTGAGTTTATTGCTTCACACTTGTGGAGGTGCTCATGGTAGACCTTTAAGGTGCTTCACTTGGTGATAAACGATAAGTTGAATAAACGAGCCGTGCATCAGTCGCCGGTTAGGAACTAGTGTTTAAAGTGTCGTTAATATCAACAGCCAGCACCTCATTACGTGCACTTAATGAAGAAGGATATTAAACAAATGGTGAAAACAGAGACAAAAATCTATCCACTGAGAGACAACTGTTGATGACGGTGATATGGTCTGTTTACCGTAAGGTGGTCTGGTCGTCATTGCTTCTCCAATCGTCAAAAGTTGAGTAAATCTGGGGGAGATGATTGTCCTCAGGTCTTGGGAACAATAACCCAGGAAAAGTATGGGAAAGATATAATCATGTCAGGCATAGTGAAAGTCGGTCTCACAGGCATGGCGGCCCGTTAGACAGTGTGGACACAACATAATTAATCTTGGGTATAATAGGAGGCAGCATGGCCGGTACTGTACTCATGTTCCCAGCTAGTAAAGTAAGGCACTCATTAAAGCTGGGTGGACTGGGGGTGCCCTAGAATTGAGCCAGCGGCTATTAGGACAGAGGCCCAGTGATATATCCATTTAGCCACCTTGAGTCCTCCGTGTTCTCCCCATTCCTTCTCATCACTGCGCTCTCGTTTCGAGTCCAACTTTGCACTTGAGACTGCTGAGTCTGCCACTTCCCACTTGAGAACAAAAACGTGTTTGGTGAAGTGCTTCTCAAACTCTTGAGGCCCCGTCCGCACCACTCGCGCGGTCCTTCCACACCCAAAAGTGGAGGTCCCTTGGCTGTTACCGTCAAGTTCGGATGGGATGTAAATTAACAAATCGACAAATACTTGTAAAATTAATGAAATAAAATAATAAAAAAAACAGGAAAAAAGGAATTAGTGAATCAAAGAAAATATAAAGTAGTAAAGATGCTGAGAAAAGACGTGACGTAAATGTACACACAAAGTTATTTCTCAGTGACTAATATATATATATATATATATATATATATATATATATATATATATATATATATATATATATATATATATACATATATTTATATATATATCGTTATTTTCATAAATGTCCACAACACAGCCGAGACCAACTAATATTCAGCAGCTTCAAGTACTCAAGTAAGACCTTGAGATCTTAAGTGGAGGACTCTTGTTTTCATGTTGTAGTATTATAAAAGACGTCGTCTTTGATCTATATCCATAAGAATCAGTAATGATAAACATTATATGCAGGTAATGAATACTGACGTACTGTAGCTAGTGGAGGTGATGGTGTGCGAGGGCGGCGCCGTACAGTTTCCCTTGGGTCAGCTGTTGTCACACCTGTAGAGTACAACACCACGTTACTATATTAACAAACCATTCACAGGTCCGTACGCTACAGTATACTCTCCTACAGCCTGTACAAGAACACCAATTAAAACTCATAAATATAAATTTATATCATAATTTACAGAGAGATAACATTTCAAGAAACAAAGTACACTACCAAAGATGAATGCAGTGAAAAGCAGGAATGCAAGCGGAGATGGGACGAACTCACGGGCGCCTGAGAGAGAGAGAGAGAGAGAGAGAGAGAGAGAGAGAGAGAGAGAGAGAGAGAGAGAATTAGCTTTGTCCAGATAAACTTCACCCTAACGTGTCCTGCGATAGGTCTGACACTTCACCCTACACACTGAACTACTTAACTCATTGTAAATACTGTAATAACTTCCATGTGTTAATTCAGACAGTCCCACCCAGCCTTCATCCACACCGCCATCCACAACCTTCATCCACACCACCATCCACAACCTTCATCCACACCACCATCCACACCACACACACAACCTTCATCCATGAACACACCATTATAACCCTTCATCCACACCACCATCCACAACCTTCATCCACACCACACACAACCTTCATCCACACCACACAACAACCTTTCATCCACACACCACACCATCCACAACCCTTCATCCACACTCCACACCACACACAACCATCATCCACACCACACAACCTCATCCACACCCATACAACCTTCATCCACACCACCACACAACCCTTCATCCACACCACCACCCACAAAATATTGTTCCACCACCCATATTGTCTCACCACCCACACACAACACTGATCCACCAGCTCCATACAACACTGATCCACCACCCACATAACACTGATCCAACACCCACACAACACTGATCCACCACCCACATAACACCGATCCACCACCACACAACACTGGATCCACACCCACATACAACACTGATCCACCACCCACATAACACTGATCCACCACCCACATAACACTGGATCCACCACCCACATACAATTGATCCACCTGCCCACATACAACACTGATCCACCACCCACATAACACTGATCCACCACCCACATAACACTGATCCACCACCCACACAACACTGATCCACCACCCACATAACACTGATCCACCACCCACATAACACTGATCCACCACCCACATAACACTGATCCACCACCCACATAACACTGATCCACCACCCACATAACACTGATCCACTACCCGCATAACACTGATCCACCACCCACATAACACTGATCCACTACCCACATAACACTGATCCACCACCCACATAACACTGATCCACCACCCACATAAATTTCCTTGTCTCCTTGTAAATATATACCTAGAATTTCGAACACTCAGCACGTAAACTTTGTGATAAACCTCTATAAGCATACACTTGAACACTATATTATTGAATGTGACACTGTCAAAGACTTCAGGCCACCTGGCTTATTGTATCTTGAACTATGTAATTACTACATTGAATCAAGTGTGCTTGAGGACATTCTTGCTGTTTATCCCAAATTTGCTAGCCCACACTGATTAGTCTTCAATTAGAATATGACTTCAATGTATGTGATCCACTGACCTATATATACTGCTAATGAATATGATGTATTTCCTTCTTTGTGTACGAACCTCTGTCCTGCGTGGCAGTGAACAGTGGCATTACCCACATGAATCTGACCTATATATAGTGTCAATGAATATGATGCATTCTTTGTGTACGAACCTCTGTCCTGCATGGCAGTGAACAGTGACATTACCCACATGAATCTGACCTCTATACATTTATAGTTGTTAATGAATATGATGTATTTCTTTGTGTGTGAACCTCTGTCCTGCGTGACAGTGAGAAGTGATACCACCCTCCGTGTCAAGACCTGACTGAATTACTCAGAATAGGCAAACTGTACTACAAGCTTTGTCAATAAATTTGTTAAACTAAACGCGTCCATCCCACACCACCACCACCACCACCTTCTTTACCATCTCCTCCCTCCCTTCCTTCCTGTCTCCTCCCATGTGTGAACCAACCACCAATAAGGCTATTACACTCGTCTCCTCCACACCAATGGAGTAACGAAGTAGGGAGGTCAGGCACAAGGCGCGCACTGTCGGGAGGGTGTGTGAACAAGGAGGCCCTAACAACAGTACCGAGCGTGTGTGGCCTGGCGGTATACGTGGGTAGGTTTCCAACATAGTGCCCATGCCCGCTCTCTTGGCCAAACAGTATGCTTGATAGACTCACGTTGGGCCCATTATCTGATTTTATTTCCTGTTTTAACGTCCTTAAGATCTCTCTCTATTTATTTTTTTATCTTTCTGGTTTATTTCTTGTCTATATTTCTTTATTTAGTTTTCTTCATTTTATTTGCCTTTTTCGTCTTTATTATAATTTTCTTTACCTTCTCCTCATTTCCTTCTCTTGCTTTATATGTTATCTCGTTTATTTTATTTTTCTTTATCCGTTTTCTTTCCTCCTTGTTTTTGTTGTTCTTCCTGTTCTTCTTCTAGTTGTTGTTGTCGTTGGTGTTCTTCTTCTTATACTTCTTTTCCTTCTAGTTCTTCACTATCTTCTTCTAGTTCCAGTTGTTATTGTTGCTCCTCTTCCTTTTCTTTTAGTTCTTGTTCTCGTTGGGGTTGTTCTTGTTCTTACTCTCGTTCTTCTTCTTAAACTACAAGCACTAATATCCACAAGTGTATAATTACTACTACGCATGAGCAGTGATCGTGCGTAGTAGAGGTCAAGCCTAAGGTCTCGGGCGAGCATGGCAGAGTCTTATGCCTGAGGTCTTTCACATCAGCCGGGAGTCAAATTTCATGAGCAAATTAACACCAAGGCAGAAGGTGATGAAATGGTTGTTTTTCATCTTCCTCCAATCACAGCCTGATTCTCGACCTCCTCTATAAAATAATCACAAACTGTGTGTCCCAATGTTGGAAGTAACAGAGGGACGGGGCGCACACACACACACAACGCCCTCGGCCAGTGGCAGAGGAAAGAAAAAAGGCAGAAACAAACTTTCAAAACAATAGGAGGAAAAAATACAAACTATTATTTCTTGTCGCGTCACTGCTGTCAACTCCGTGTATTGTGTAGACGCAGTCAGCTCCCGCAACTTGCGATTGGCTGCGACAATGGGCAGCCATGCACGCTTTTAGGTAATTCTCAACTGTGATTTGCTGGCATGGTAGTCCAAGAAAATCTAGAGATTCTTTTTAAGAAGCATTCGGTGTTTTAACAAATTTGAAATTATGTAGGAAATTAATGTTTTACAAAAGAATCATAAATTCATCAGCATGAGTGCTTAAAACGACATGAGAATTATGAAACTTATTTTGTAATTTTTACACTGCTGCTAAATGTTGAATTTATAAACTGTTGTTTATAATAGTTTAAAAACCATTTATTCGCACCTTTCGAGAAACGAAATCGTCAAATATATTCTTTGTTTATTTACTTGTTTTGCTGTAACGAAAAATTAAATATTTTTTTTTAAGTTGTAACACTGCCCCACCTCACATAAACACGATCACGGTGGAGATAAGCAAATAAACAAATGAATAATAAATAAATAAACAAGATATTTCCAGGAAGCGACAAGTGTCCTGTTAAGGAGGCTAAGCTTACAAGACCAACATAATAATACGCAGGTAAAGCACAACTAACTAACCAGCAACTCAGAGACCCACAACAGCGTCTCCTACCAATGTGACCCGACTTCTAATGCTTCTATCAGTCATCATAATAGACAAGTGGATGACTATGGTGACTGAGGCAGGTGGATGATGATGGTGACTGAGAAAGGTGGGTGACGATGGTGACTGAGAAAGGTGGGTGACGATGGTGACTGAGAAAGGTGGGTGACGATGGTGACTGAGAGAGGTGGATGACAATGGTAAACTGAGACATGTGGATGACGATGGTGACTGAGACAGGTGAATGACGATGGTGACTGAGACAGGTGGATGACGATGATGATGGTGATTGAGACAGGTGGGTGAGGCCGATAACCTAACCTAACCTAACCAGAGGTGACGGGAACCGGTCAGCGTGGCTGGTGATAACGGGGAAATGACCAGCTTCCGAATGAGACAGGTGGGTGAGACAGGTAGATAAGACAGGTGGATGAGACAGGTGGTTAGGACAGGTGGATGAGACAGGAGGTTAAGAGAGATTGATGAGACAGGTGGTTGACAGGTTGAGACAGGAGGTTAAGACAGGTCGATGAGACAGGAGGTTAAGACAGTTGGAAGAGACAGGAGGTTAAGACAGATGGATGAGACAGGTAAATAAGACAGATAGACGTTGGTGACAGGCGAAGTCCTTGTTTACGACCCAAGGTTTACTGCCTCCTGAAACTGTTGATGGCATTACACAAACTACTGAAGCAGATAACGAGATACTCAAACACCTGTGACGCAGATAACAAGGTGCGGCCAAGACAACACCCCCCCACCCCCCACCCACCACGCACTGCTGGCCCCCAAAACGCAATGATACCGATAAGGAAACGACAAGTTCTGCTCTATATCAACGTGACATAAGAGCCGAAGTTTTATCGTAAACACAGTTAGGACACTCAATTTATGCTGTTTACCACGACATGAGAGCTGCCAACGACCAAGTATTAACGTCCGAGTATTAACGTGGATAGTTGTCAGCTCAGCGCAACACAATGCCTTCTCACCAGATTTATAACCACTACTTCTAATAATAATAATAATAATAATAATAATGGCTACTCTTCATATCCGAGGCCAAAACAACAACCACCCCCTAAGTTAACGAGTTGTATGACCCAGAAGACCGGACAACTTGCCAACTGCACTGGCTAACCATTACCCCGGAACATGATCCGTAAATCGACGAACATCCTCGCTATCATATGTTGGGTTTAGCATTATGAGTGATTAAAAGAGGTAAATCGTGTAAAACAACTTGCCCATAGTTTCACCCTGCCCGGCGGATTGAACCAGGTATCCATTTACTTGTGAG